GATGCATAGGCCCCTTCTAAACTGCTTGAAATCTAACGACATGCATCCTAACCTCTGCTAGACTGTCGCTCATCTTCTGCTTTGTTTAGGGACGGCGCTACGCCACGCCACCTCCTCAGTGCTACCTTCTTCTTGTTCCTCTTATCGGGCAACTTCCTCATTGGCGCAGTAGGGGGCAACAGTGTCAGTACTCCCCCCCCCCCCCTGTCACTGTCACACTAACAGAGGGAGTCACACAAGTGTCATTTCACGAATCGGTTCAAACTGTGGTGGTTTCATTTTTGACATGTATACTCAAGGATTGCCAATTAAAGTTCGTACCCAGTTTGATATTTTGGTTATAGGGGTAACACAAATTTATCAAAAAATTACTAAAATTCATTTTTTTCGGGAAATCCAAAATTTATCCTCAATTTGTATTCAGCCCAAATACAAACTGACCTCCCTGACATACCCAAATACAAAATGGGGATACATTTAGAATTTCACCCCCCAAAATTGATTTTTAGTCATTTTTTTTTTTGAGAAATTGGTCTTACCCCCTATAACCAGAATATCAAATTGGGCACGAACTTTTATCGGTAATCCCCAAGTATTCATTCAAAAATGAAAACTACAAAGTTTGAACCGATTCGGAAATTTTACACCTGTATCCCCTTTTAAGAAGCCGCTTGAAGGGTAGACAATGGGGTGTACGAAAACCCTGAGTCACATACAACACATCGCCCCCATGTCAGCCGGACCTAAAACCGCGTGCCCTCCACCCCTTGCCCTCAGGTGTCCCCCGCGTAGTAGAGACAGTGGCAGTTCGACGAAGTCACGTGACCACTTTAAAATCGCTGTAGACTTTTAAGCGTGCGGCGTGCGCGTGGTCTTCTTTCCAGGTTTCGCTTGGTACACAAAGTGGGAGTCACTCAATTGGGGTGGGTCGTGCTGGTATGCGTGGCACGTGTCCCGTCCCGCTTTTGAAGGACCTTGCGGAAGGCCGCGGGCGGGGGCAGAGCGGGCGGCACAGGGTAAAGGTCAAAGGTCGCCCCCGGCTCGGTTCCCTTTCGGTTCCCTTGGGGTCCTCTTCACAGTGCAGCAGAGCGTGGCGAATGAATAAACTAGCGCGCGTTCTAAATTCTAACAGTCGCTAAACTATCAGGGGACCGTTGGTCATTGGTCATCGACTCGAGGAAGCGGGACGAGGCGGGGCGGGGTGGGGCGGGCAGGGGCTGTATGACATGACGAGCAAGTTCCGACCGCCGCCGCCGCCGCTCTACGCGGAAAAGTTTCATTGGCGCCCATCTCATCAGCGTACGACAATGTGGCGGTGGAAGTGCACTGCGACATTCCGCGACAATCGGCTGACTTAGTTAGCGGAGGGGAACGGTGCACGAGTGCAGCGCTACAGTGCAGGGCTGCCAGCGACCATTGCGATTTGCAAGTCCTCATCGACCGACCACCTGCTCTAGTTGTTGTCAATAGATGCGGTGTTTTGGTGCTGAGGTGCTGATTTGTATTCGAATTTAAAATGACCGGCAGACTCCACCGGACTGCGCCACGCTGTCAGACTAGCCACTCACCTCTCCTGCTGCTCGGGCCGCACCCCTCCGCCGACAGGATGCGGTCCATGCCGAACTTGAGGGCGGCCGGGGCGCCCCCCGCGGCCGACACGGGCACGGAGGCGGCGCACAGCGGGGCGGCGGAGGCGGCCAGCCCGCGCCACGGCAGCCACTGCCGCAGGGCGCCGGGTCGCAGCGGGTACGAGAAGGGGTAGTGCAGGGGCGCGTACAGGTCCGCCAGCGCGTCCAGGGGGTCGCCCCCGGGGAGCGGCGCCGGCGGTGCTGGCTGCGAGGCGCGCGCCGACAGCCCGGGGGACGTCGGCGAGGAGGCCTCGAACGGGTAGGCGGCGTACGGGTACGGGTAGCCGAGCACGCCCAGGGTCGCCAGCGGAGGCTCGAGCGGCGGCCCGCCCCGCCTGTCCAGCCTGTCCTGGCTGCAGTCGGAGGACACGCTCCCGGTGCTGAGGGGCGACAGTGTCGACAGCCGGCTCGGTGATCGCGAGCGCGATCGCGACTTGGGGCGGCCGGTCAGCTCGGCCTGGGGGGCGTGGGGGCTCCGGATGACGGACACACCTCGCGGGGGCCTCCCGAAGCCGGCGAGGGCCCCCGACGGCGAGGACGGCGAGGAAGGCGACGGACACCCCCAGCTCGCCCCTCGCGGCCCGCGGCTCAGGTCGTACTGGAGGCTGTCCATGGTCATCATGCCACAGCACTGCGCCACCAGCAGCGTCCACATCCACGTTCACTTCTGCACTCACATCGCACACATCGGTTGCACAAATGTTGCACTCCACTGCCGCCGTACCGTCGGCACAATCACTGATGCACAGACACACACACACGCACAGGGACGCTCGCACACGCGCCGCCGCCGCACGTTTGGACGCTGCCCCGCTGGCCGCGCTGCTCTACCGGACCGCGTACCACTGGCTCCTCGAGGGTGAGCGAGTGAGTGAGCCAGGAGCCGATACCCCACGATCATGTTTGGCTTGGATGGGCGTGGTGGGGCGGGGGA